TTGGTTGGTTGGTTGGTTGGTTGGTTGGTTGGTTGGTTGGTTGGTTGGTTGGTTGGTTGGTTAGTTGGTTGGTTGGTTGGTTGGTTGATTACCTCTTGCAGATTCTGTGGGGAGTTGGGATCCTTTGGGTCCAGCTGAGTTTTGGGTCCTGGGACCCCCTGCTTCTGAGGATGCTGGGAACACAAACAGGAAGTTAACTCTGGTAGAAAACAGTCATCTGGACCAGCTCATGGTCGTTTCGTACCGGTACGAAGACGGCGTCGTTGTCGTCTTCGTGCCCGTCCACAGGATAGTCCTCCTTTGGAAGAAGGGGCTTCAGAAAGTCAAAGAACAGAAAAGTTCTCAATTAATCCACAAACGTTTTCATCCAGAAAAACTGTCCAGGTATTAAAACGAACTGAAACTGATTATTTATTCTTCAGTCGAGCCACAAAAGGGGCATCTTTTTAGAATTTTAAAGAATTTGAGGTGTTAAACTAAATCCACTCAGAGCCATGAAGACAGAAACATTTATTCTGGACTCCCCTGATTTTAAATTAGATGTAATTCAAGATTATAAGCCCAACTTCAGTGATTTAAATAATATATAATAATATGTAATAATCCAGGATTAAGTCAGGATCATACAACATCTTCATGGTTCTTCCTGTTGGCTGTGGACCCAGGTGGGGACGGTGGGCCCAGCGGTTCTGGGACAGTCCAGGATGTGGCTCCTGTGTTGGGATTGTAGAAGTAGATTTTCCCTGAAGCGTCATCCAGCAGCTGCTCCCACCCACTGGAGCCCTGRCAGGAGGGAGGGGACGTGAGCGGGCGGGACACCCAGGACTCTGAGGTTCTGTCAGAGAGGACGGGTTCTGGTACCTGAGGGGAGGCCTGGGACAGCGGACTGGACGGGTCCATGTCTGCGGGGGATGTAAGGCCTCGGTGGTCAGTCCAGGTGATCTGTCTGCTCACAGGATGGTAATAATACGGCCTCCCGCTCTCCGGGTCAGTGAGCACCTGCACAGGTTACAGTTTACTGACAGTTTCTCTAGAAATGGTTCCAGGTGTAATGTGCTGGAGTGCCTTTGAGCAAAGCATCGCCTCAGAAACACCTGATCTCTTTGGTTCAGAACCGGATCGGTTTCCATCTGATCAAACTTTAATGATCTGAGTGGAACATGAACACAGCTCAGAGACTTTAAACCAACTATCAGAAACACATCTATAATCAGAACTTTATCTTGTTATTTTATTTTCTTTAAATGTTTCATTTTTATGTGTTTTTATTTAACTGGGTCAAATAGATCAAAGATATTCGGTTAAACTAATCCTAACAATGAGGAACTGCAGATCTGGTTCTGTAACTTAATCCAGTGTTTCTGACTCTGGAGTCCGAGGTCCTCTTACCTGCCATCCGTCTTGTAGGCTGACAGGAGAGGCGGGGCTTATCATGCTGGAGGAGGAGCTTGAAGGTGATGGGGTGTGGCCTAGCGCTGTTGGGGCGGGGTTTGGAGGAGGAGAGGAGGAAATCAAGATCTGCGGCTGAGGGGTTTTCTTCAGGGAGGAGACGTTGGCATAAATGGACGAGCTAGAGTTGAGCGAGCTTTGGTCCTACAGAGGGACAGAGAGACAAAGAACATTTAAAGACCCGGTCCAACGTGTCTGACTCTTGGTCCAGGCTGTGGTTCTGTGGTGGAGAGCACCACACTCCACCTCCTTACTGAGCTCCACTGCCCTCTAAGGTCTCAGTCGGACCTCGATTGGACCTGAGTTGGACCTCAGTCAGACCGTTACCTGTTCATGTCGTCAGGAGGATCAAACCTAAATCTGATGCTCAGAAGGAGCTGCAGAGAGGTTCTGTTCTCACAGAACAATAATCTGTCTGGTTGGGCCGAGCCGCGGGCCAACAGGAAGTGCTCCTCCCATGCTGTATAAACACACACACACACACACACACACACACACACACACACACNCACACACACACACACACACACACACACACACACACACACACACACACACACACACACACACACACACACACAGAAGTAATGACTCCTGTTTAACTACAGAGTGACAGCCTGAACGTCTCCTTCAGTTTTAATCAGAAGAACATTAAAATCCTGCCAGGATGAGAGTGATGATGAAGTTTAAAGTCGGATTATAAAGTCAGATTATAACCCGGCTCCTGATCTCACTAACCTCTCAGAACTTTGTTTCTGCAGATTATGATCATTTTGTGTTGCGTTCACTGACCTCTTCAGAAACCCTCCCTCTCAGCTTCTGGCCAGGGGCTCAGAGTTAACGTGATGAAGAGCTGCGTACGACCGGCCCAGTTCCTGGTTCTGGATCTGGAGTTTGTGTCGGCGCAGCTCATCAATAAGTGACTCGGCTCTCACGTGAACCTGATCGGACCTGGTCTCAGTTWTCCCTCTCACTGAATCTGCTCAGAAGCGGTGTGCTCTTTGAAACTGGACTTTAATCAGACCCTGACCCTGCAGCTTCACACACAACATTTATTTCAGGTTTAATTAGAGCTGGAACACAAAACACTTACCCATAATGCACCTGTCTTTGTCTCAGAGTCACTGAAACAGTTGTTGCATAACATTCCATCAGGAAACATCTCAATCTGGTTCTGATCTCATCTGGGTCTCATGCTGTCAGACTGAACATCTTGTCTGCAGCTTTTAGCCCCGCCCTCTTTCTTTAGGCAGTGGGTGACTACGCCTCCTGTTTATGAAAGCTGTTGCTCCACCCCTTTCTAACGATAACCCCGCCCCTCTTTGACAGACGATTCATCAGTTTTCTTTATAACACAGATCAGATTCAGTTTGAACTTGATGTCTTAATCCACATCAGTCTAAAAACTCCTGGAATCTTTTCAGAGTCCTTCACCTGCAGACAGATAAACTTTTCACCAGAACCAGAACCTGTCCTTACAGACACCTGGAGTCTATTCCAAAACTCCTGGATTCTTTGTAGTAAAACTGGAGCTTCTTTTTTATTTACCTGGTGTAATTATCAAAACCATCTTCTACATCCCTTTCTGAACCCTGAAGCTCTTCTGGAGAACCACTGTAGCCTCGACATCCTCTTCAAAGAACATTATACATTTAAATATACATGCAGAAAACTTTCTGAAAGACTCTTAATGACCTCCAGAGGTTCCTGTCTGAGTCCTGAACATCATCTGAAGTTCAAAAAGGTTTCTAAAAGACCAACAGAACTTCAAGCCATCTTCTGTTGGACCTGTAGTATCTGGACTCTCACAGATCCCTTTGAGTGTCAGCTTTCTTAACAAACCTTTGATGTTTTTAAACTTCAAGGATTCTTGTCATGAAAAGATTCTCCATGAGAGGACGTGAAGACCATTCCACCACTTGCTGCAGACACAMAGGTGGTCCTGTAAACACAACCCGCTGGTATCGGTGGGATCAGCTCCTTGGGGAGCTGCAGTTTGAGCTTCCTGTGTTCAGAAAGCTTCTGACAAACAAACCACAAAAACACTGAAATCAGGCTGCTAAAACTGGGATATTCTTCTAAGTTTCTCTCTGAGAAGTCCATCAACAACCCACGGCTAGATTTTATCACAAGATGTGAAGAAACAGGCCATCTCCTCTGCTGCTAAAGGTCTGTTACAGATGTTAGACTGATAACAGCTGGAAATTAAGTTCCAATGAGGTCAAGACAGAACAATGCTGCCACCTCCTGTTCCTCAACAGGAACCAGTGAACTACGAGGGACCATGGATCAGAGCTACATGTTCTCCTGATTTATTTGTGTTGCCATTTATACCCCCAATGACCAGTTCTTATCATGGATACCCACCAAAGACCAGGTATTAACATGGATATCCCCCAATGACCAGGTCTTATCATGGATATCCACCAAAGACCAGGTATTATCATGGATATCCCCCAATGACCAGGTATTATCAAGGATATCCCCCAATGACCAGGTCTTATCATGGATATCCCCCAATGACCAGGTCTTATCATGGATACCCACCAAAGACCAGGTATTGTCATCAATACCCCCACTGACCAGGTCTTATTATCAATATCCCTCAATGAACAGGTCTTATCATTAACTCCAATGACCAGGTCTTATCATGGATACCCACCAAAGACCAGGTCTTATCATGGATACCCACCAATGACCAGGTCTTATCATCAATGCCCCCTTAATCACCAGGGTTAGTGAAGAAAGTCAGAGTACATGAATCTGTTTAAAACAGCCTGTTTGAGTTTGAGTTAAAGTTTAAGTTAAAGTAAAACACTGGGCCACCATGTAACACAACTGGACATCAGAACCAACAACCTGAGGAGATCTGCTGCTTTCAGCTTTACAAACTAATCTTCACCTAAATTCAAGAGAAGAGACAAAAAAAGAATAAAAATAGAAAAAGGTTAAAGATGTTTAATGTTAAAGCTGAGAATGTTTAACTAAAGCTGCGTGTTCCCAGCTGGGAGTTCCCTTTAAACTTTTACCACAAGACCCGATTCAGTTACAAACGGGTCAGACTGGTTCTGGCACACACACATACAGGCGCTGGCTAATGGATCAGTTCTCCTATTGACCAGCAGGTGTCGCTGCAGCGCTGCAACTTTCACAGTTTCCTGTGTGACCCTGATCATTTCCTGTCAGCAGTGACATCACCAGGACCAGAACCGGGCCATGAACCAGAATCATCGAACATCTCTGATAAATATTTTTCTTTTTAAAGTTGGATTAAAAAATGTATCACGTTTATCATTATTAACAATAATAATATAATTCAACTGATAATCATAAATAAATTAAACCTGTTCAGGTTCTGCAGCCTGAGGTCAAAGGTCAGCTGTTTGTTTCTGCTCTGAGGGGAAAAAGAGGAAACAGCTTTTTCTGTTTCCTGTTTCCTATCTGTGCTGCAGGAAGTTGGTCGCTACACAAGGCTTTTATTTTGTAGGAAGACCAGGGGCCTCTGAAATCTGACTGAACTTCAGAAAAAGAAACAAACTTGGATCTCGTTATATCACCAGCACCTTTCAGAACCGGGAACAAAATAAAGACCTTAAACGTTCTAATTCATTTGATGTAAATAAATAAGGTTCTAAATCTGCAAGAATTTCAACATCCAACATTTAACCTCCTGTTCAACCACCAAAACAATCAGAACCGATCCAAAACCACACTGGACCGGACCGGGAATCTCTGGAACAGACAGGAAACAGACCCTGAACACAACTGCTGCCTTCAGGGACTTCAGTCTCCGCCAGGATGCATTCAAGGACAACACTGAGTTCTGGTAGAAACACCTTCATGTTCTGGTTCTGAACTGACGACACGGATTCGGACCGATGAACATGTTTTACATTTATCCTGACGCCACATTCTGACCCGGTACAGGACCGAGATTCAGGATCAGAACCTTTCAGATATCTGGAGCACAGGTTCTCTTGTCCTGGGAGGGGTCTTGGGGTGTCTTACCTGTTTGGTGGGTGGGGCTGCCAGTGTGGTGGGCGGAGCTTCAGGAGGAGGAGCAGCAGGAGGAGGTGGCGCAGGTTCAGACGGTGCTGCTGGGTTCTGCTGTTCTGCATGCAGAGCCTCCAGGTCCAGGTTCAGRTCCAGGATGGACTCATAGATGTGGTGAGAGTCTTCCTCTCTCCGTGACTCCTCCTCCTCCTCACCGCTCTCTGAGCTCGTCTCTTCTTCGGCCATCTCTTCCTCCTCCTCCTCTTCCTCCTCCGGCTCCTGTTTGGCCTGGTGACCCTCGGCTGGGGAGGACTTGTTGTTCTGGAGGGGAACCACCGGGGTCACAACTGGGATGGGCTGGTTCTGGAGCCGGGTCATAGTCCGAGGATCAGCAGGACTGAAACTTGGAACTCGGGGTTTCCCAGACTCTGAATGGTCCTCCAGGAGACTCGCAGGGTGAGGTGACTTTTTACTGTCGGCCATGTTTGTAGTCCCACAGGTGTTTGGCTGCTTCTTGCTGTCAGCCATGTTTGTAGTTCCAGTAGTGTTTGGCTGCTTTATACTGTCGGCCATGTTTGTAGTCCCACTGGTGTGAGGCATCTTCTTGCTGTCGGCCATGTTTGTAGTCCCACTGGTGTTTAGCTGCTTTTTACTGTCGGCCATGCTTGTAGTCCCACTGGTGTTTGACTGCTTCTTGCTGTCGGCCATGTTTGTAGTCCCACTGGTGTTTAGATGCTTTTTACTGTCGGCCATGTTTGTAGTCCCACTGGTGTGAGGCTGCTTTTTACTGTCGGCCATGTTTGTAGTCCCACTGGTGTTTAGCTGCTTTTTACTGTCGGCCATGTTTGTAGTCCCACTGGTGTGAGGCTGCTTTTTACTGTCGGCCATGTTTGTAGTCCCACTGGGAGCTGTGATTCCAGCCTCAACAGAACCAGCAGGAGGGTTTCCTTGGACCCTCGATGTTAACCCCATGTGGCTCAGGTCTGGTAAGTCCATTGGTACTCCGAAGGTGGACATGCGGTTTTCATTCTTCTGGTTCCGGTTTGAGACATTGGGTCTGAGGCGGATCAACATCTCATCACTTTGTTTGGTTTTGGTCCCAGTGGGTTCCTCCAGTGGCTTTGGAACTGGGACGGGAACGGGGACTGGAGCCACCACAGGGTGCAGCACAGGTTCTGGACCGAGTGGGTCGGCGAAGTCCAGCGGGGACGGGAAATYGGGGGGAAGCTCCTTGACGTACTTGGCTGGGATGTAGAAGGACCTGGAGCTGCGGTCGTCCCGGACCTGCCACCAGTGGTCGTTGGTCTTGGCCAGCAGGACGTAGCGCTCGTTGGGTTTGATGGAGACCAGAACCCCATCCCGACCCTCGTACTCGTACTTGAACTCCACCAGGACCAGACCCAGACCTGAAAGACAAGAGGTTTGTTACAGAATGGTCCAGGTTTTATTTTGGGGAGAACTCAGTTGTTTCTGGAGACTCTGGAGGTCCAGTGAGATCAGAACTTGGATCAGAACCTCTGAGGTCCAGCTGAGTCCAGACAGAACTTAAACTCTCACCTCTGCTCAGCAGGGAGGAAGTCGCTGCCATTTTAATGACCCTGTGCTCCTCAGGCCCCGCCCCCTCAGGTAGATGACTCTGAAGGTGAGGGGTCAGGGGTCAGCCCTGATTCTCATCCACCTGAAAGAGAAAATAAAAACACAAAATCAACAAAAACAAACAACAACTGATTCAGTCATGGAGAAGTTTTATTTATTTAATAGTATCATCAATAAATTAGTATCAGGAACAACTGAATGCAGAAAAACTACTTGTCGCTATAAAACAAGCTATTTATTTAGATCATCAGGCCACGCCCCCAAACAATATTAAAGGGATCCCTGATTAGTTGTAACATTAGACTTTATTTGATAAACATTTATTTTAACTGTAAAATAAAGACTGTA